CCCCCCCCTTCTCTGATTCCCACAACATAAACAAAGCATTATTAACGACTGCGGTCAGTCATTGTTAGACTCGGGTACACGGCAGATTCTCAGAGGCTACAAGCAGCGCCGCCGTCCTAATAATGCCTCCACGTCAACTCCCAGGACAAACGCTCACACTTGACGAAAACTGCCACGACTGCTGTTTGAGCAGATAACAGAGTTTGCTCACAGTTTCACATGGAGCTCACGTTACCTTACCTAAACAACTAACCAGGAACTACTAGATTGTTCCACCTAGGGCACAGTGTCCTATTAATGTAAACCGATGCTCTTCAGAGGACTGGAGGGCGATTTAGTTAAATGAGAATTACACACACAAAACACACAAAAGGTGATCAGAAAAGAATGTAGTCATTAAACTCCAAGACTGACAATGGATTTAGAAGCAGCAAGCGCTCACACTGAAGGTAATTATTGAACCGATGGCCAAACAAACTGATCAATCCTGTCTATTTGCCCATGACCTAACCGACTGCTCTCCCACTATTGTCAGCACCTCTATTTGAGCCTGCGCTTTTGCAGACTTCCATTTGTTTTGAATGGATGACAAACTGTAGTACTCAGCACTCTACATAATACGCTTTTGCACAGTGGCTTGAAAATAGTTTCGCTGGCAAAAGGCGACATGTCTCCAGAGAACTAAGCCTGCCTCCTGAGATTTCATCCAGCTCTCACTTCTCTTTAGTGCAGGACTTTTGTTTGTTTGTTTGTTTGTTTGTTTACTGTGGGCATCAGGCATCAATTCAATTCATTACCTAAAACAGGATGTGGTTACTACAATGCATTTTTTAAAAAGTTCTTGTCTTTACCTCCAAGCCCTCTACCTAGACTGCTACAGTCATATTGGGCCATTTATTAAAACCGTTGTTTTGTTTGGAGAGCGCAGCTGCAATAAGAGCACGCAGCAGAGAGCAATGCTTAAAGGATGTCAGCAACTTAAATCATATGGGAATTTAGACGGGAGCACTTTCCTGCCAACTGGATTATGCAGCAGGGTTTTCTATCCCTCCCCTTCCCCGTAGTCTTTGTACTGTTGCCACATGACCACACCACTTTCCATTATTTCCCACCAGTACCTGATGCCCAATAGAAGCGCACAAAAAGTTCTATTCATACCTGTGTGGTTAAATTGTCTCACCTTAATTTTGTGGATGGACTTCCCCTCCTCCAGAGACTGGGCCCACACAGTGACGACCCCTTTGTT